AACCAAATTTGGAAACCTTACTGCATTAAACTATCTGAATGAAAGCAACAAAACAATATACCTAACCAACTATCATATAGTCAACAAACAAACTATACAAACATATTTATATCTTTAATACAAGCCAAAACAGTATATACTTACAGTTGTACTTGTGGTCTTTCTGATCAACAACATACTAGAGACTTTTACAATTCTTATATTTGCCTACCACAAGGGAAAGCTAATAAAAAACTAACTAAATAGATATCTGAATAGATAAACTACAGTACTCCAACTAATCATATTTTATATTATCAAATCTAGGTAAGTTTTAACCACTCTAGTAGGTTTAGGTTGCAGATAAATTAGATAAATTAGATAATAATTTCATCTATAGTCTGAGTCTTATTCTTGTAAAAAATTTGTAAATTGGCTCTAGCATGTGTCAACTCATGTAGTTGTCCATAACAAATTATTAATAAAAATAAAGACAAAACTTTACCTTAATATCAAAATAAAAAATAAAAAATAAAACTAATTTAACTTATACAATTTTAGTTTATTTTAATACTTTTATATTAAAATATATAGTCAAAATTATTAATAAAGATATAAGCAAGGCCTTATCTTAATGTCAAAAAAACTAATTTAATTGATAAATTTTTTTAAAAAGAACAAAAATGATAATCCTTATAATAAACAAAATTAGAAATTTATATGTTTTTTCTATAGTGCAGAAATAGGGCTTGCTTATATATAAAAGTATTTTTTATTAAATAATTTTTTTTTGTTGTTTAATTAAAAATTGTAGAACTAAATCTTGTGATTTTAATAGTAGTAAAATCATTAAAATCAGTTAAATAGATCATAAAATATAAGTATTTTTCAATCATTTACTATAAAGTTTTTTCTTAAGAATTGAAGCATATGGCATTCTATTTACTATATAAGGTAACTAGTTACATGTCTGCTAATTTTTACTATAAAATTTATACTCTTTAACTACAGACTACTAATTAACTAAGAATTAAAAATTGATATAAATCTAAAATATAAAAAATAGAATTAATAATATTTGTATTAATTATTATTATAATTAAAACTAAAAATAATTAAAGTTAAAATTTTTAAAAATTTTAATATAAAATTATTAAATTTTTTAAAAATATATTTTTTAAACTTTTTTGTATAATTAACTTAAAATTTAGAATTAAATTTAATAATAAAATTTATTAATAAATTTTATTAAAAGTTATGTTTTTAAATTAAAATCTTTATTTTTTATTATTTTTAACTTTAATTCTAATAATTATTCAATAAAATTTAAATAAAATTAATATTAAATTAGATAAATTATACAATTATATTATTTTTTATTTATAGTACAGATTGTATAATTAAATAGATAGAAAATTCAGAATTATGTTTTTAATATTTTAATATAGAATATAATAAAAACAATTTTATATTATTACAAAGTAATTAACAAATATATTATTTAAAATTACAGATATATTGATTAAATTAATTAATATACTTAAATTTTATAAGTAGATTTATAAAAAAAATAATTATTATTTATAATTTTTATCAAAATTTAAATAAAAATTAATTTTGAAAATTTAATTACTTATTATTAAGTTCTTTATACAAAAGTTTAAATAACAGTTAATAATAATATTAAAATAATTTTGCTTTTAAAGTTGAACATTTCTTTACTATATTTTTTAAGTTAAAAAACTAATATATTGTAAAATATTGTAAATATTATAAATATTTCATTATAATTTTTTTTAATAACAAGTTAGTCTTTTAATTTAAGAAACATATATTATTATAATTATTAATAATGTGTTAGTCTTTTAACTAAGGAACTTTATAAATAAAATTCAACTTTAGAATCAAGATTATTTTTAACTTTATTATTAACTATTAGTTAAATTTCATGCAAAAAATCTTTAGATACTTAAGAATAAGTATTTGAAGTTTTTAACTTAACTTTTATATTAAAATTTGAAGAAAATTAAAAAATAATATTTATATATATAATTTATATAGGCTAGTTGTTGAAATAAGGATTAAAAATAATAAAATTTTCAAATTTTTTTTATATAAATCAATTTAGAATCAAATTAGAAACATTTTTTATTTAAGATACAAAAGTAGTTGTATTAATAAAATTTTGCAATATAACTTTTTAAAGTTTATATTTTATTATAATTTATTATAATATTTATATAATATAAAAATTAATATTCTCGGTTTAGGTCACAGATAAACTAGTCTAAGCTCTCATTCTTGCATGTAATTTTTATTTTGTTTAGTTAAAATTATTAATAAAGATATGAGCAAGGCCTTACCTTAACACCAAAATAAAAGAAAAATTAATATTCCAAAGATCTTTTTTTTTGTCATTTTCAACCCTATTTCTAGCACCTAGCCCATATATAAAATTTAGGTACGCCTATTAATTTGATTATATAAACTCTCCAACATGTCAGCTAACTGATAGAATTAAAGTCCTTCACTTCGCTCTGAACAATGAATATATAATAAGAAATGGAATTTAAGTAGATTCAGAATTTTTTTATGAAACAATCTTTCAGAGTTGATTTTATCTAAAGTATGGCATCGTAATTCAAATTATGATATGTAGTAATGTAGTAATTATTTACTACAAAAGTAGTAATCGTAATAATATTTAGGACATTTACAAGTATTATGTAATTACCTCCTCCTCTGGAAATTTTCATTAGACTGACCTAGTATTAACCTATAGTTAATCATTTGATTTTAGCTAAAGTTACATGGCTGTGCTTAAAGCTCAACCATATAACTTTAGCTAAAATCAAATGACTAACTATAGGTTAATACTGGGTCAGTCTAATGAAAATTTCCAGAGGGGAGGATAATTACATAATACTTGTAAATGCCCTTACTATATGTAGTAAATATTATTACATGTAGTAATATTTTATTATATGTAGTAATTATTATTACATGTATTAATTGCTAAGAAATGTTTAGAATTATGTGTCCGGAGCCATAAAGAAATACTTTAACGTGTCTAGTCGATATAATTATTAATAATGACAACCAAATCATAAGAATTATTATGCAATCAGGATTACTGAAGCAGATAGAATATTTCATGATCATTGCGATTACTTGTTCTTGTAAAAAGTGTTCTTCACACTTCAGACAATCATTACATATAGTAAATACGTAATTACTATATATTACTAAATATAGTAAATATAGTAATTAGAGAACTCATACAGGGGGATCCCCAAAATTCCGGGTCGGAATACATCAGAATCATGATCGGCAGGGCCGGAATTAACTAATTTTGCCCAAGATCACTAAAAGTTTTACTAATGAAACCATAGCTCACTCATTAAGTAAAGCTGCCCAGCTGATAATTTTGGCCCAAAATGGTTAAATTGTATTACTAAATGCTAACTAAATGCCAGGCTAAATCCAAGGTATTCTGATCCGGAATTTTGGGGATCCCCCTGTATAAGTTGTAATTAGAGATTGGAATCAGTTTAGTCAACTAATTAGTCGACTAAACATAGTAGTTTATTATGTAAATTTTTTAGTCGACTAAATCCCTAATAGTAATATTACTACATGTAGTAAATATTACTACAATTACGGTTGTAAAAAACCTTTGTAAAAATACATGTAATAAATATGTAGTAATTAGCTATTTACGGCACCATACTTTAATTTTATCATATACATACCCATACCCTAACCCTAATTTAACCAGGAAATTTCACTCTGTTTCCACTTACAACATATATAATAAATCTATCGATTTTATTGGCTGATCAGCAAGAAGTTTGATTGGCTAAAATTAAAGATCATCCTTTATATTACCATTTCTATTCGATATCCTGATATAGTGTAAAACAGGTTAATTTTATAACTTGTCACATATTATTAATTCAAAATACTAATGATTTTTACTAGTTACTTCGTTCTAAAAATTTAATATTCGAACTTTATGTTATAATGATATTGATAGAATCGCTTCTAAGACAAGTTGGTGAAACAATTGGATCCGACTGGACGTCAAACACGAATATGAAAGTTAAGTTTTTTAAAGTACAATCTGGTGAAGTTTTAAACCAGATTAATTATGAAAAAAATTTTTATTCACTTTCAAGTTGAAAGCTTTATTATAAACAATATAAAAAATTCGTATAACAATGTTGAACAGAAGAATAAACAACCAATCATAATAAACTTTACCTATGCTGACCAGTGGGCTATTAGTAAGTTAACTCAACCAGTACGAAAGCTGTTCATAATGCATACCGAATTTGAGAGAATTATGTTAATACTGAAATTTGAACTTATTTTTAATATGAAACTTTAAAAGTTTTGAAGTGCATTGTTTGTAAGGTTGGGTTAAGATCGGGTTAAATTATATATGTGAAGTTTATCAGGGCTTATATTTTCAAATCAAGACCCCAAATTTCAGAATCAGTCGAGATATTTATTAATTAGAAAACATCTTTAAGGGTTTTGATTTATATCAATAACATGTATAACCATTATCTCTACTATCTAAACCATTTTAACGCATTCTGTTGTTAGGCATAAAAATTCATATATAATGATGCATAATAATTAAATATTGATATCATTAATATTAACATTTTGATAGTTTTTCATTTTTAGAACTATTGATTCAAGTTTTACAAATGTTTATTTTTTTTTTATTTATAACTGGTACCAATATCACCAGAGGTAAGTAAAAATGTTCAGGATTTCAAGAATCTAACTCTACCTAAAATTTGAACATTTATATCTAAACCTAACTTTGAATAAAATTGCACCCTAAACCTAAATTTAATAAATAAAAAATAAAAAAAATAATTAAGAAGTAGTGGTATCACTACCGGGAATAAATGATAAAAGTTATATTTATATTCATATCAATTTACAAATTGAGGGTTTTTATACTTTTAAATTCTAAATATAATTTTGTATATATAAAATTTAAATTAATTTTTTTTAATTTCTGCTAATTCTACCAACATTCCCATTCCGTTGCAACTTTTTGGATGTAATAAACAACTGGGATTGCCATGTGCACCAATTTTCGGTTTAGTATCTAAAGTTTTAATACCTTTTGATGTTAAATCTTTTATAGCTTCTGTAACGTTTTCAACCTTATATAAAGTAATTAAAATAAAAATTAGATTGAAAATATAATTTATTAAATCAATTTAATAATAAAGTTACAAACCTCAATACAAACATGGTGTATTCCACCATTTTTATTTCTATCTAAAAAATTTTGAATTGGTGATTTATCACCATATGGATGCCAAAGTTCAATTTTAATGTTGCCTAGATTTACAGATACTGTATACACTCCATGTTCTGGTTGTGGCTGAAAGTATTAGATGAAAAAAATTATAAAGATATATAAGAATGATAAAGGTGAAACTTTAAAAAATTGTAAGAAAACAAACTTACCACAGCTTCACTAACATTATCAGCACCTAAAATATTTTTATAAAACTCTGATGCTCTTTTAAGATTAGGTACAGCTATAGTCAATTGTTTCAAATGACCAAACTGATTCTAATATTCAATAAATATATTTGTTAGACGAAAATGATTGTTATTAGATGATAAAATATAATGCTTAACCTTCTGCGGGGCGGAATTGATAAAATTCCTCTGAAAAACAAAACTCTCTGCGAAAGATGAAACCTTGACAAAACTTCTGCGAAAGATAAAGCTCCCTGGAGACAAGACGAACATTTTGAAAGATTCAATTATAGGAAAAATAAAAAAATTATTGTAATTGGTAGGTGAAACAATAAAAATGAAATAATCTTAAATATCGTAAACACTGAAGTGAGATTTTAAGACAATGGTTTATTTTATTTGTAGTAGGATATAACCCATTGCTTCGCTAATAGGGTTTAAATAGTTTAATTCTCTAAAGTCAGCAGGCGATTTAAAATCATACGATGAATATGAACCCTAAACACAGCAATGTGAAAATCGGCTAAGATGGAATTACCGAATTAAAGTATTATCTAATGCAGTGTGCATTCATATAAAGTAATATCTAATGCAGTGTGCATTAATATAACAAGAATTTCAATTATACATAGGTGATAAGATAAAGCGTCATGCTAATGCAATGAGCCTTATGAATTAGATAAGTTGAGAGAGAAAAATGACAACAATTTGCATTTATTTAATATGTTAAACAAATGTGAATAAATTAAAAACAATAGAGACATTATAATCATATTACTGTATTAGCGCAGTGAGAATATTGTTAATGCACTATAATATAAATCGTAATAAAAGAGCACCAAAATTTTTGATCTAAGAAAATGCTAAACATATGTTAAACAGAACATTTCCGAGTCGGAATATCTCGGAATCATGATCTGCAGGGCCGGACTTAACAGCAAAAAATCGTCTAATTGGTTAATTTTTGTAGATCTACCCGTGATTACTGACCGCATAGCTAATGAAACGAAAATTTTATACGTAATAAGAAGGTAAATGAATCAGAAAAATATATACGTTTCTATTGAGAAATATGTCTATAAATATATGAGAAATGGACCAATTTTTTTTCTAAGTTTTTTAAACCTTTGACCAAAATAACTCAATAATAATTTAATAAATTTCCTTTAAATTAATTCTATAAATTGTTGAATTTGTTTAAAAAAATTTGTACTGAATTTAATTAAATTTTTATGAGTTATTTTTGTTCAAATATTCCATTCAAAAAGATTTGGCGCATTTCTACTGAACCACCTCATATAACTACGTAATAAAGTAATAATTACTCTTAACTAATTTAAACACGTTATGTATTTCATTATTTATAAGCTTAGAATTTAAATACATTTCAAGAGCTAATCTAACTTAAAGCCTATTTAAACATTATTTTCAAACCTCTCTACTCACAATCTTGTTTAAAAAAACAGATATAAGATCTTTTTAATCTATAAAAAAAGAAAAAATCGGTATTTCTGTTAAACCCATTTTTATTTAATAGCTTAAATTTAAAAAAGGCTTTCTTTACCTAGTTTAAAATGTCATTGTCAAGCCGACCTCTTTTAGCATCTCTTCGAAGCTAAAAGACGATGTTTGTTAAAAATGGTTACTTGTGTAACGTTGCGTTCTTAAAAAGTAAGTAAACTGACAGCTGATAATTTTGGGCCAGAAATGGTTGACTTGTATCACTAAATGATGGCTTAAATCCATGGATCCCAACCCGGAAATTTGGAAACTGTGCACTATTCAGCACATTACTATATACAGTAATAGAAGCGGATTCCATGCAACAAGGCATATCTTAACATGCACTTTTATGCGCTTCTCGTATGTTCTCATAAATTTTGGTATACTATCTAACATAATTATTGTTCCACTTTTTTGAATTCCAATATTTTACCTTCTATAAATAATGTGCCAAGAGAATTTAGATGACATAAACTCATTGAATTGGATTTTAATTTAAGCAAATTTGGTTAGTATACACTTTTTTTGTAGTTTTTTAAAAAACTTTAATTATTAGGTTGTTTCATATCAGTCTAATTGATTAAAAATTTTTCTGATAAATTTTTCAGATTCACACGCTATATTAAATGTCACGGCTGAAGCCGACTTTTTGGGGTCTCAATTTGGATCCATTACACCTACTAAAACCCGCATATACTCTTTTATTAACAATTCTAACCCTAAATTCTAGTCCAACTGTTAAAAAAAAAGTACCCAAAAAATTGTAATATTTTGTATTAAAACAGGTCCCAAAATCAGCATCAGCCGTCACATTAAATAATTATAGAAAAAATTGAAATTACTAAATTGAAATTACTACTCCTTTAAAATGTTCAATGAAAAGTGTCTCTACATCGTAACAATTAGTGTACTTAGTCGATTCATATTTATCGACTTGACTAAGTCGACTATGGCTAAGTAGATAGTCATGTGATAATATTGATTATAACTGTTGATACTTATCTAATAAATCAACTTCGCAACCTTCAAATTTGCCTGTATTACTTAATTTATATCAATTATATTCTTTTTGATCATATGCTAACTATAGAATCTCTAAGTCGTATGATCCAAATAATGCCCTGAGCGTGATTTTGGGTAAATCAGTATACAGATTGAATCATTTAAACCCATAATAATGTTCTTGAGGTATAATAGCATTTAAAAATATTATTGGTCATATATCACATGCATATAAATGAAAGGTGGGATATTATAGTCGACTAAGGTAACAGTGTCAGAATTTTATTCTACTAATTAAAATATATTACTGTATTACAAGATATTATTTAGTTAAAATATATGATTTTTTGAAAATTTATAATTGTACACGGGGGCGGTTAGGGCAAGGAAGGGTTTGGGATAGGGTTGTGGAATAGCTTATACCAAAAATTTCGCAAGGAATTTTTTTTTGTTAATACCCATATACAAACACCCGTGTATTCGGCTGCAGACACGTGATCAATGATCACATAAGTTTAATTTTCATGCTAAAAAAAAATCTTTCATGTTTTTAAAAGTTTACAGATCTTTTTATTATACATTTTCGCAAATTTTATGTTCTCAAACTAGAACATAATCTTTACATTGAAAACATTAGATCTTTAACACTGCTCAGAACCTTTAATGTAAAATAATCACATGAAGATAGCATTTAATAAATGCTAGCTCAAGGTGAAGCTCCCATTGTCATAGAAAACAATAATATGATACCTCTGTGTATCGAATAGTATAAGCGAAGGTTATAGTCATATAAATGAATATCCCACTTTCTCGATGCCTTAAATAGTCATATTACTTGATCTTCATATTAGATACTAAGTTACTATAAAACACTGTATAAGAAAATTTTGATTTATATCCGTGAGTATATTGTATAAAAGAGGATATATGGAATGTCTCATATTAAAAGGACATATAACCAATTTTGAGTAAATAATTTTTTTTACTTTTGTAAGTTCATTTTGTAGATCTTTTTACGTATTACATAATTATCTTCTGTTGCACATAGCAAACTTTTTGTTGAATATATGTCTATCCAAGAATAAAATGAAATGAAAACAAAAAAAATTGAAAAATTGTCAAAATGGACTATTTTAATATGAGGCATCACATATTATACAGTATTACGTAGATATAATAAATAATTATAGAAATTCAATATTACCAGAGATAGTAAAAAGGTCACTGCCCAGTTACTTTTCACCAACCCAGTATATGAAAAGGATATATTAAATCTATTAGAAAAAATATATATATTATTTTTTTTTTTAAATCGAAGATTGATTTGTATCCGAGTAACTTACAAAAAAACTACAACAAATATCTTTGAGTACAAATCAGGGGGTACCTTGTACGGCGTTTTACAGTAATAGCAAAGCCCCCTGATATATCCATTATATAAAAACTACTCCTCGAATACCTAGTATCACACCTTTTTCGAGTAACCTTTACTGCGTTTAATGTTTTTATTGTTTTTATTGTGTTTCAATTGTAAAGACGTTGTGACCTCAAATCTACTTTCACAGTACACACATAACGTACGAATAGAATTTCCGGAATCAAATAATGATTTAAGCCAATAAGTCTAAGAATTTTCATAATGTTGGTAAACTTTTAACTTGGTTCAATTTTAGCATTTATCTCAATTTTAGCATTTGCCATCACACTGTATACGAAGTACTTACAAAAGTTCATACTTGATATGATCCGAAAATTTAATTTTCATACAAATCATGTGTTCAAAATTACATGCAAAATTACGCAAAATTGCATCTCCCTAACCGCCAGTCTTTTTGTTTTTTAATATATAATGTATGCTAACTAATTTAAGAATAGATCACTGATGCAATCATGCAATTATAAATGTGATACCTTTATTTCATTACATTATCCAAATTATATTCATTCATTATGATGATCTTATTATACGTACTGATATGTACGTACGTACGTACGTACTCACGCGCGCACGCTATGAAATATAACCCGCGTGAAAATGAGTGTCGCAAAGTGAAAACCAGGAAATCTAAATATATAATGCTATAAAAGTAATTATTATTCTATATTTAGACTTCCTGGTCCTCGCTTTGCAACACTCAAACACGATAAGAACAAGGAGACAGTGATTAAATTCATAACGAACACAATAATATCACGTGTTCATTACATGTTCATTACATTCATACATCTTACATATAACGTACATACATATATATTCGAGCGCGCGTATACGTATCAGATATGTATGTATGTATGTATGTATGTATGTATGTGCGTACATATGTACGTATGTCCGTAATCAAAGGTCAATTTTCTGATAGACATGTTTTCAAGATAACGCCCAAGCGCATCGTCGTTGTATGCGATAAAACCCATAAGTTACAAGTCAAAATTAGAGCTGTTAATTTGTTTATGCTATTTTTAGAGATATAAATTCCCGAAATAATACCTATATCCGGCATCGTCTATTGATATTATGAGAAACGGTATTACCAATTATACTGTATCCGAAATTGTGGTACCGGTACATACAGATTATACAGATTTCTTTTATGATTGCATGATTGCATCTTTTATTATTGTAGCTTTATTATTGCATCTTTATGGTTGCATGATGATTGCATAACGTTATGCTTCATTATATCACTAAAGCTTTAGTAAATTGTTCAATAAAGAACTGCCGGTATATTTACCAGAAAAAAAATAACCTAGTTTTCGCTTGCCTCAATCAATTTTTTTTTTTAAAAAAAATAAAAAATCAATTATAAGGACACTAATAAATATAAAGTAACAAGAAATTAGAGTTTTTTAGGTTGCCTCAACTTTCTAACTTTTATTCGAATATAATAATATGTAATCCTGTATAGTAATGAATAATTGATATCTAAAAATACATTTGATAAAATTTTACAAAATAAATAAATATATTAAAGATTAAATATTTCATAAAAATAAATAAATATTTCATAATAATAATGAAAATAAAAAATAAAAATAAAAATAAAATAAAAATAAGATGAATATTTCATATAAAAATAAAATGCAAAAAAAAATTAAGCATAATTAACAATTATTGATTTGAATTATTTCACATTCATCAATATTAAATTCTTTACCAGTATAAATGCTATTATAGTACTGTGGTTGACAAATACATTTCATTGTATTTATGTCAATAATTAAATCTTTAATACCAAATTTTGGCCCGACCCAAAAACAAGAATTGGAAGAATTATCAATATCATAAATATTAATATTATTGCCATTTTTCATTCTACTAACAATAGAATCAGTATTTGGTTCACCATTTGTAAAACAAAATAAGAAACTATTATCAATTGCTGGTGCGCAAAGTGATAAAAAATCAATGTCTAAACCATTTGGTGAGAATCCACCAATAATTGTATTTGATCCTTGAACCTTTGCCAATACTAAAGTGTTAGGACGGTTAATACAATGTTCCTTGTAATTTTTTACGGAATTTTCTGTACATTGTTGAGAAGTGATTCGATATATGAGGTTGAATTTACGAGGTGCCGAAAATGGTTGTTTTTGTTTAAGGAGTTTAGTATTAAATTTTTGAAACGTAAATAACCGTTTTATAGTTCTACGTTTTTTTAAAGATTGACTATTTCTTAGACGGTTATCTATCCATTTTAAAATAAAATCTGCATGATAATGGTTTATTAAAGTCGAATCATCAAGAAAAACTCGTCGAAATATATCATTGTATCTGGACCTAACATCTTTGTCAAGATAGTGTTGTAATGCACGACTACTCATATTCTGTGGGATAATTTTGCTGAATGGAACTATTTTTCCATAAAAATCGTTTCGAGAGATTCGATCAAATTTTATAAAACTAATAATGTTTTTCACTGCATCTTTAAGCAATGTCCAATCTCCGAAAGACCACAAAGGAATATCCTGCTTTAATGTCTGATTTTGTCGAATTCCCCATAAAATTAAGATATCCCAAGCGATACCTTGATTCATAAAAAAGCGAATATCACTTAAAATCATGGAAAAACTTGTTTCTTTCAAATTACCCAAGTCATCTGCTTTTAATAAATATGAAGGATTGGCGCTAATTTTATGAATAAGTTGATGTTGAATTGCTTCGATTATTTCGTCATTATCGTCAATGAAAATACTATTAATAATTTTCACAAAGTTTTTTTCTAGCCATGATGGCTCACATTCTATCATCTGATGTTTCAATCTATCTCGTATATCATTTAAGCCAAAATGTTCGGCTGCTTTAATGAGATCTATAAAAAGGGTTCCATCCAATGTATTCAAGTCAACCTCATTTTTATAAAGAAGTCTATTATATGAATTAAAAAAAAATTTATAAATAATTTATATATAAATTTATAAATTTAAGATGACAATTCAATTTGAATTAGAAAACAACAAAATAAGACGTCTCAAATATAATATACCTAAGTAACATTCGAAATGCATTTGGAGTGACCATAGGTTCTTCAATAATTATAGAACCACCATCCTTCGTAATATAGTTGTGAGATAAAGCTGTTCGAAAATATTGGGATTGGGAAGTCAACACATCCGAATTACAATAGAACTCTTCTACATCCGGCAAATGTCCAATTCTTAACGTAACATCAAATTCTTTGCGAGAATAATACTCGGGAAATGAATCCGCAATTAGTGTTAAACATTCGTGATCATTATTTTGAAGAAAATCTAATAAGTCTAATGAAAGACGACTCAATGTTTCTAAGTTTGAGTCCATCGGGGGTTTTTTTTTCTTGTTTTTGTTTTTTTATAGTCTATCTATTTTTTTTTTTTCTTTCTTTTTTTTCCCTTTTTTTTTTAAAAGGTGAACAATGGTAGGCTAAACCTGTCGAATTTATATGATTTATAAACGCGTGTTTATATTTGTGCGATCCTACTTTTTTTGGAAAGATTAATGAGTTGTTCTATCTTTAGTAAAATTCTGAAGACAGTGTGACTAGAATTAACCTTAAGATTATTATTATATTTTATACGTTAAAAATATTTTTGTTGCCAAGATAAATTATTATTTGTTCAGGGCGTATTCTAGAATTCATGTTACCTTATTTCAAAACTTTTCCACATGTCCCCGAAAATGAATATTATAGCGTAAATTTTTTAAGCCTATTACTGTCTTACTCAATATAATCACACAATAATAAAATTCACATTATAATCACAACAAAGTGTGCAACGAGCTGTGTGATTATAGGGACAGATTCGTAACATTTCTCAACATCATTAATAATTTTAGTGCATTTGAGTAATTATTATAGGGTATCACAACTTTGAGGGTTCACATATGAGCTCTAAATGTATTAATGGTTGACTTTGTGAAATTGAATATCATTTTTTTTTGCACATTTGCTATAATTTGATTCATCAAATGCATCAAATGGAGTTAATTTCTAAAAAAAAAGTTACTTTACTAATTTGGTTCGATTATCCGTAATCGCTAAAAAAGTTTGAGAATGATTAAAATTACATAACATACCTGATACGTAACAGTACGGACGGACGTACTGTACATACGTACGTAAGTATTGTACGTACCAGTACGTACGGACTCACATATCCCGATATCAAAAGTGCCCCTGCATATTATAACTTCCAAAAATACCCGATAACTATAAACTATATTTAGAAATTTTATGTTATAATTATCCATCAAAATTAATTATTATTTTTTTAAAATAATTATAATTTTTTTTTTAACTATGATAAATGCACAAAGGGTTGCCACGGTCAGTGACCTGACTTGACCAATTGGACTGGTTCGATCCAAGGGTTTAGTACTGGTCAAATTGTATAGATAGTATATGTATTGTGTTTTATATATTTTATTACATAGATGTTATTACATTTAAATACTACATTCGTCAATATTATATAGTTATTGGATGCGAAGCAGCCAATAACAGAATTATTTGCAAAAATGATTAATTTTATCTGACTGCGTACATAGCATCCAATAACAGTTTTATTGGGTGGCTTATGATGACCAAACCAACAGAATAATTCGAGTTCTTTTGGTGATAATTGCGTCATTATCAAATAACTTCGTTATTTGGTACGATCATAGTAAGCTGCCAATGATATAGATAATTTTTTTATTTGTGATTTTTTTTATACTAGTAATGTTTGTAAACTGGAGTGTTTCTTTTCAAATAATCTTAATTTGTTGTATTTGTTTATTATTAAATGTAAACCAACTTAAATGATTAACTAGTTAATATAGATTTGAGAGTAAAGTTAAAAAATTAGATAGTAATTAAGAAATAAAAATTGATTTAATAATATTAATTTGAATATTAGTTATTAAGTAAAAAGATGAAGCAATTGTCCTGTTGGTGCAAATCATTAACTCTTTCTGATGATCACTTGTACCAAACTCTGCTGCAAACATTTGATTATTATTCAATATTTTATTAAGTAAACTACTCTTGGACG